CTTTACGGTTCCCCTGCGTTCCGCTTGGAGAACATATGATTCTTTCTCTCGCACGCGACCCGCCGCGCCGCTTTCCTAAAGGTTACTGCGACGTGACGTCTCAACAACGGACTGCGTCTTGCCAGAAATTTATGTTCTGCATTACATTAGTGTTTCAGGTGGAATCCTTTTAATTATTAATTTTCAACATCTCGAATTCTCTTGTTTTCGACAAAGGTCTGATAAAGGGACTACTATTTTTTAATTTTACTCTAATTGTGATCGTTTTTTATTTATTTGTACTTTTTAGATTTTATTTGCAGAATTATTTAATTTTTAGAGAAAAATAAAGTAAATTAAATTTGTTGAATTTAAACTTGAAGAGATATTGCACTCTCTCAGGTGCTGTCGTAACTGTTTCATTTTTATTCGCCATTTGTATCCATTCATGACAGATGACACATGAGAAGACGCGTTTATACGATAATTTGTCGTTTCGTGAAGCGCGTGCATGCTTGCCTGTATCGCGCGTCGTTTAATAACATTCCCTCTTTGCTGTCAAACGTTTTCATATTATACCATCTGATATTCAGTCTCCAATAACCCGTTGACGTTTGTAAAGTTCCCCGGCAGGATTGGATAATTTCATGGTGGCGTAATCGGGCAGGATCGCTCGATCGTGATTAAGTCTTGATATACACGGTGGCGTATGAGCACGATGTATGCATGATCCGCGTACACGTGTGCTCCGGGAAAACGCGTCACCGAGTTTGTTTACATGTTCTACAACTCGTGTTACTCGTGCGGCAGCAATTAATAGACATCCATCCTGTCGCTTAACGTGAATTACACCCACGTGCGACCCGAAGAGCCTTCCTGAAACGCGCACAGATTCGTGCGTATGTACTTGTTGATTTTCAGCAGATCCAGATAGTTTGTACTTGGGAACTGTGACAGAAGCTCGGACAGAAGAGATGAAACCTGAAAGGTGTTACGATATTATCAACACAACTGACCGTGCGCCCTGATTTAGAGTTTGTCTGCGTACTAAGAAAAAATCTTCATTAATTGTTGTCGATAATGAACGGCTATTAAATAAAGGATAGGATTTTGTAACGATTAAGAAATTAAATATCAAAATTATTATTTGTTTTTTTATTTTTGTCGGCGCAAATAATTCCCTGGTGTTTATGTAAGAGCGGAGAAAGTAACGAAAATGGTAGCAATTTTTAGAAATAAAAGCTTAAATGAGTTAAGAGCTTTCAATACGAATTATGTCATCACTCGATACCTTTTCTGGATCAATCTTTCTCATACTCTTTCGCACTTTCCGACACGTGAACATATCTATTTAGAACCAGGACAATCAATATCACTTTGCGACTTGAAGGTAGAAGGACAAATGTCATATGTCCATGGTACGTGATATTAGTCAGTCCTTCTGTGGGCTTTAGGAAAATATTCTGTTTGACGTACATGCCATATACGTGTTCAAGAGTTTTTTTAGGGAATTATATCGTTTTAATTACGTTTTAAAATGAGTCAAATTAACCCCAGGCAAACAAATGAGCTCTGCTTTTAGTTGAATATATTGTGTCATAACTCCGTTAAGCAACGCGTATCACGCAACGATGATTAATACGATGTCCGAGATAATTAACGTCTAGTGTGCAGTTACGATAGCGCGATATTCCTGACAGGCGCGTCTAATCAACGCTCATAAAATAAACCGCAAGGGGAAACCCTTGTATGTAGGTCCACCGTGCTGGAGCTCGGGCCATCGAACCTTTCTCCGCTGCATTGCGGGCGAATTCGTGTATCAAACACGAAAAAGAAATTGTGTTGAACTTTCGTTAATTTTCCCACGTTATTCTGTGTCAGTTTAATCTTTTAACAATCTGCTCTAGTTCCAAAGTGCGAACACAGAAGAAACGGAATAAGTAATCACAGAACAGCTTTTTTAATACACTAATATATTTACGCACATAAATCGAATACAAATAAGATGTACCTATACATGAATTATTAGCGATCGATTTTACATTTTAATTGCTTTCGTGCGTCGTATAATGCTTCGATCTTACACGTGGAACTAATGTCCACGTTAATTGTTTCATAACGTTGCAGGATCAATACCACTCGCCAAGTACCGTTGATCCTATTAAATTGAGTATCGAAACAAATAGGTGCGCTACAGATTAACGCACGTTTGCCATTACACCGACAAAACCTGTGTATACCGCGATCATTAAAGTAACGAAGTTTACGCGCGACAATGTTTCTCTCATTAAAATAAATAATGTAATTAAAATAATTTAATTAAAATTATCTCCTGATTGTAATACAGATGAGGCAGGATGTGGCAGCTAAGACACGTACGGAGAGTCGCGATTTTTCTAGTGTCGTAAATATTTATACGAATAAAATTTCTGTAAGTGAGTCATTGTGGTGCTGTCATTGCGGAAGCGTAATAACGTGCAACTTTTGTAAAAGGAAACACCGCCAAGTTGCCCAACAGAACGGATCTTCTTGCGCCTCATTGTCACTCTGATACCTGTAACGCATGATTGCGTAATAATGATTCATTCGATGACACCACCCGGTGTCCTCGAAATAAACCCCCCTCGTGAAGAACCATCATTTGCGTTATGGTAAACACACTTGTCGCGTGGTTGCGAAATGTCCCGTTCTTTTAAGCCGGACGACGAGAGATTTGTCGCTCCGTCAGTCAGTGTCTGATAACGTAATGATGCTTCCGTTGTCACTTTAAATGTATTCAACGAGGACTTGTTCTGTCTTGAAAGATTTTCTTGCAAATTTTATAAGCATTTATTTTCTATAAATATCTTGACTAAAACAGCCTATTTTATTTTCACCTGCATAAAAAATGTTATAATTATATATATAATAATATATATAATAATATATTAATATAATTAATCGCGTTATAAGATTATCGAAATGTAAAATGTTACGTATACATAATGCAATATGACAACTTTCGTATCTTTCTCATTCACTCTCTTCACTTTAAATGACTGTTCTAGACGCAATTATAAATCTTAATTATTTAAAGCCGCGATATATGACGAGTTAGAATAATAGCGTTACAACGTAATTACAAATTAACATCTGTTGTAAAGCTCTTCGCGGTTTGACGTTGTTATTTCAAATATTTAACATGTGGTTGTAAATCTATCTGCACGTTATGCAGCTTGCTATAAAACGCAAAATTAACAAAGGACCTTTCATCCTGAAAATCCCTTTGAGTTACGCAAGGGACTTTGTTGTGGAGTAGCAAGTTGTAATTGGGTCACCCTTAAGCACCTGTCATCAGCCATTTAATCCTGAATTGCAAAGGAAAACGGATTAGTGTAGAAAGTGTCAAAGGAAAATATGGGTTAGCGTAGAAACAGTGTATCGCGATGTATTCAATTGAATCACAATGAGACATATTTCACCAATTTTCCTCACGTTTGGAAAGGCAATATACAATATTTATTTGAAACGCTCGATAGTAAGTTTTCTCTACTAAAAATGAAATGAAAAATGTAAAAATATTTTCTGCTTTCATTAAATTATAATTACAATTAGTAATTAATTAATTAAACATATAATATATATTTTAAACGCTTAATAATAAGTTTTTTTCTAAAAAGAAAATGAAAAATATAAGAATACTTGTTTTAGTCCAATTATAATCACAATTAATAATAGGAATATTAGTAGGAATATTTTCTTAAGCCGTAATTGTACGATTATTTTATTAATACTTTGTAATTGCATTGTAACAGTCTCAAAATAATTCCGATATAGAAACGATATATTAATATTTAATTAACTTTTTAAATATTTAAGAATAGTCAGAGTATGATTCAAATTTAATTTGCCCTAGATTCATGTTAAATTCTTTACACAGTTATGTTTAGATTTTTTAAATCACAACTATATATATTAACGTGAAACATAAAACAATTTTTATAATTATTCAAAATAAATAATTTCTCGACAATTGCTCAGAATATTTATTGCATTGAATGTTGACGTCACGAGTACATCTCACAGAAAAAAATTAATGTTGCAGAGGAGGGTGACTCACAAAAATTGCTCAAATAATTATATGACGAACGTTTTCATTTTTCACTTTTTCCACGTGTCGGCCTTCGGATAGATAAATACGGTCCACGCTTACAATAGTGTCGGGACAATTTGCTCATAATGCGCGTTTATAATGTTCCGTCATCTTTTGTGGGTGTGTAACTTCAGATTTTTTCTTGTTTCTAAAAAGACAAGCGACGTCATCGGCAGTGTAACATTGTTGTGTAACGCGTGCGATAGAGGGTAAATTCTTCATATAAGACTCTGTTCTTCAAGCGTGACGATGAAGATAGAGTGTCTTAAGTGTGTTCAACGCCGATGTTCCAATAATGGTAATAATGATAAAACTTTCTAGTTTTGTCCAATTTTTTCTGGTTTCAAAATATCAACACAACTACTTTGTAAAATATAAGAGACTAAATCGACACAACAATTAAATGTCTTAAGATACTTTTTAAGAGTTTATTTTTGTTAAAATACAAAATATATGTATTTATAGGAGAAAATAAAAATGTATGAAATAGAAATTTAAAATTAAACTGATAACAGAATTTTCAGAAAAACCTAAAACTTAATGTATTTATACTACTAAAATATATACCTGTAAAATTTAAAACTTGAACTTTAATTTAAAAATGGTTTAAAGATACAATGAATATTTTGTATATTTCCATTTCTCTGTTTACGAAAAGAAAATATAAAATATCCTAGGTACATTTATTTTTTGACAATGTCGTGCTAAAATTAATACAAAAATAGCTGATATTTTCCTTCGTTTAACGAATTATCTGTCAGTTTTGCAAGGATGTCGTTTGCCTTTTAATTCGTTTAAGCGATACTTTTATTGAGAGTAGTTGCGTTAGGTAACATAAACTCTGGAGACTGATGACACTGAATGACCTCTTTTCTTGTACTCGTTGCAGGGGTGCTGGAGATGGCGGCCACCGAGAGCACGATCCGATTTAGCGGCCACACGTTGGACAAAGCGACCAAGGCTAAGGTGAGTTCGGATTTAGTTTCAACTTGATTATTCCATTAAGATAGCGACCATTTTGCTCTCTATATTGCATTCGTCAATTCATTCGGAATAAATGATTTAATATACAGAGTACAGCATAAAACATTGATACGATTATATTAAGATGGTATTTTCTAATTAATTTTGAAGATATTTCTCTTTGATGATAATTTTTGCACAAATAAAACATCAGACATTTAATAATTTGACAATTAGAAGCTTATATTACCTTTCGAGTTACCTTTATTTTGAGATTAAGTAAAGATGCAATTTTATTATCTCTTTGAATCAATTTATTTTTTATTTTGTTCAGATTCTTTAATTTTTTTTTTTATTAAATAATGCTGTATAAACACGCATATCAGTATCTTAAAAGTTTCCGATGCGGAAGGGCACGTAAACCGATTAAATTTTCTTACCAACTTTCATACTTCGATGCGAGGGAACTTGGTGTTACACAAACACGTTACATAATATAGTAATTGAACTATGTAATAACACTGCTCTCATATCTTAATAAATTTAATCTGATCACGGACCCGCCGTACGGCCAATCGGCTAAAAGAACGATATAGAAATCGATAGAAGAATCATTACATTATAACTGATAATTTAATATTCGCGTTCTCAGTCGTCGCTTACTCGGCAAAGAACCTTGAATGTCCAGGAACATTTTGCACGAGCAAGAAATGTGGGTCAACACTGGAACAATTTTAACCGGCAATATGTAGAGGCAATGTCGACGTACTGTGTTGCTAATTAATGGTCGCCGTTTTAACAAGATGGGCATTGCAATATTCTATATACCCAACCGACGCGGCTTGGTTGGATTTAATTCCACCGGCCGCCATTCAGAATTACAGTTAATAATGTAATAAATTTGCAATTCCCTGTCTGTTTACTATATTATAATGAATAAAGTTACAAAACGGCATGTACGATAATTTTTATTTACGATGCTATTTCTGTAAATTTCATAAAATATGAGACTGATGAGAGAAAAAGGTATCTATATATCTCACAAAAGACACATCTCGATTAGTAGATATAAATATCTGAATGCTAGAAAAAAAATTGATAATTAAAAAATGCTTCCTTATTAATTTAATTTCCCGAAAGTATTAAGCCTAAATAAAATGTCGGTTGCGAATTAATACTTGAAAATCATCATGTTATACTGCTCATGTTGTATTGCTCATCGAATTGCGAAAATTTCCGCTTAATTTGAAACGCTCCTTGCTTATAATAACCACGTATGCTTTCCTGAGAAAAAAAACTTACCGAAAGTTAGCCAATTCTTCCTACTATAGTTACTGTGTAACGCTAATTACCACGTGATTACTCAACGTTTGCCGGCGCGGCGTTGCCGACAATGCTCGATAATTTCGTTAATAACAATTGTTGACCGTTGCAAAAAAGTTGCCCGTGTCAGCGTGTCTGCGTAAACTTTTACGATGAAAAGGGTTGCTGTACAAGTTTGGAGAACTGGTGAAAACCCGAAAAAGTTGGGGAAATTAGAAACGGAGAAAATTGCAAAAAATCTCTGGAATTTAGCACTCCGCTAGACACAAATGAGATCGTGTGAATTACGTAATTAACAACATTTACGAATGTTCGTATTTATGTAATTACAATAGATTATTAAATGTTTGAACAGGATAATTAAACACTCTGAATCTTCCTCGTCTTTTATACCGTTTTCATTTTGTTTTACTTACTTCACGTCCGCTTTTCTTGAAATGTGAATTATAATTTGCATTATAATCTCAAATATTTACACTAACGGAAGGCGGAAATGTAATTAAAGTAGAATTTTCATCTACAGTTGTAATTTCAATTTAGAAAGGTGGCAGTTTACTGAAGGAAAATTTAAGAATTTCTTTCAGTCTCTTCAGAATTTTCTCTTCGTCTCTACGCGGTTGCTCCGGCGAGAAGTATAACGCTGGCTCCGAAACGTCTCGCGAAACGCCGCGAGCGCGAACCTAATCTCAGCGAGCATAATAATCGCCGTGGTAACCGCGCGCGCGACCAGCGGAAGTGGTTTTGTCGTGCGCGAGATAAAACATTATCGATCGCATTACGTCGAGCTCTCGAGCGACGACAGGAAGTAAAGGATCATACGAGCTCGGTACATATGATGATAATAATCGCGTTTTGCCTTTCGCAGGTAACGCTGGAGAACTACTACAGCAATCTGATAGCGCAGCACATCGAGCGGAAGCAGAGGCTGGCGAAGCTCGAGGAGTCCCTCAAGGATGAGGGCCTCTCGGAGCAGCAAAAGCAGGAGAAGAGGCTGCAGCATGCCCAGAAGGAGACCGAGTTCCTCCGGCTGAAACGGTCCAGGCTTGGCGTCGAGGATTTCGAGCCTCTCAAGGTCATTGGCAGGGGGGCGTTCGGCGAGGTGAGGATCGATAGCTGATGACACGCGGCTAATGAGCGAGCGAGTTAGGATAGTTAGATGTGGGTTTAATTGCGCGCTAGATTCGCTGCGGCTTTTGATACGAGGAATTGTGAAGCGAAGCTTTTTTTGCGATGTAATGAGAACAAAAAGTCGCGATGTCGTAATCGGCGTACAATTTGTCGTAATTTTTCACGCAGTTCGTAAGTAGTTTACGTAATTTGAGAGAAATACGGAAGAAATTTTAATTGTAAATGCGATTTGTTACAATATGTAGATATATCTGCAGGATTTCATAAATATAGGTGTTAAATAAGTGGATGTTATCGAACGTCTTTATTTTGTCGAGGAATGTCAATTCTTAATGCTATCTTATAAATGATATTTTCTTCGTTTAAAATGACATTTTAAATGACATACTCATCGTATGTGTGCCACATATAAATTATTTATAATTATGTAGCGATTTTTAACATTAAAGATGAAAATTGACTTCTGCTTGTGATTGTAATAATTACGTATAATAACAGAAATACGCGAGAGGCTCTCTCAGGCGGTAGTCACGTCCAGGAGAGAGAGCGAAATTTTCTCATTACTTCTCAGAAGAAGTAGCGTTTCGCCTCGCTTCGCGGAGCAAGTGGAATCCCTTTCGTAAAGTTCGAGATTAGAACGGGAGAACGCTTTTAATCGCTCGCCACGGAAGTCTGCCGGTATTTTCACTCAAAACGCGCTGTTCTGTGAAAAAAAAAACGAACAGGTGAGACTCGTGCAGAAGAAGGACACTGGACACGTATACGCGATGAAGATCCTCCGGAAAGCGGACATGCTCGAGAAGGAGCAAGTCGCGCACGTCAGAGCGGAGAGGGACGTTCTCGTGGAAGCGGACCATCAGTGGGTCGTGAAGATGTACTACAGTTTCCAGGATCCTATAAATCTCTATCTAATAATGGAGTTTCTGCCCGGCGGTAAGTCCCGCTATCGGTCTTCAGCGACACGGCTGAAAACGGTAGCGCTACTCCTGGATATATCGCGAATAACTCGTGCTGGATGAATTACAGGTGACATGATGACGCTGCTCATGAAGAAGGACACGCTTTCCGAGGAGTGCACGCAATTTTATATTTCCGAAACGGCATTAGCGATCGACTCCATACACAAATTAGGTTTTATTCATAGGTAAGTTTCGTCGCGGTTTCGTCAAGATCCGTTTTGGAAAGAGAAATAATTAAATACAGTGATTAAAGAAGTTTAATTATATTACAAGTCATTCATTTCAATCTTTTAAAGTCTTTTCTGTTCTAAATATATTTGCGAGGGTCTCTTTTTTGTGATTTTTAAATTTAATTCTTATCGTTCTAGTAATCAAGAGTTTTGAACTTTCAAATTACACAATTTGATCTGCATTTATACTTGTAATTTTTGTATACGTTATATGTATGTACAGTAAACAATTGTTTATATTAATTTAACTGTTCTGCAGAGACATCAAGCCAGACAACCTGTTGCTGGATGCACGGGGCCACATAAAACTTTCTGATTTTGGGCTGTGCACGGGTTTGAAGAAATCACATAGAACTGATTTCTACCGAGACCTGAGTCAAGCGAAACCTTCCGATTTCAGTAAGTAACGACGTTTCTCGCATGCGCCGGAGATAAATATTTACGTAATGTCGGTTTATAATTTAACTAATGCCTCATCTGTTTTTCTCACACAGTGACATCATGCGGGAGTGGAAGCGGTGGTGCGATGGACAGCAAAAGGAGAGCCGAGAGCTGGAAGAGAAACAGGAGAGCGCTGGCTTACAGTACGGTAGGCACTCCAGACTACATTGCGCCGGAAGTGTTTCTGCAAACAGGTTACGGACCGGCTTGCGACTGTTGGTCCCTGGGAGTTATCATGTACGAGATGCTTATAGGTACGATGCCTTGCGTATTGTTCTTTTTAAATTCATTTGTAATTAATAAATTATTTAAGAAATGATCTACATAATTGTCGATCTATTTATATTAATTATTCTTAGTTGTTTCAAAAGTTATTCTTTTAGTATACAAAAATACTTCTTTGTTATACCATATATTACTATATCATGTAAATGTAGTTTACATATTATATAAATAATGTTATAGCAACGATTATATTGATTGCAAAATACCTATGAGGGATAAACATGAATGTAATAAAATTTTTTTAAATTAATTTATGTTAGAGATCTAACTAATAACATAACTCTATTTTAGGATATCCACCATTCTGTAGTGAGAATCCACAAGAGACGTATAGAAAAGTAATGAACTGGCGAGAAACGTTAGTGTTTCCGCCGGAGGTTCCCATTAGCGAAGAGGCTAAAGATACCATTATCAGATTTTGCTGCGAAGCCGATAGAAGATTAGGTAAATTTCTGGAATTTTATTTCGGAATCATTAAAATAGAAGTAAATATTTTTCACGGCAATAAATCTAATCGTGAAACTAATCTTTATCGTTGATTGTCTCGCAGGGGCACAAAGAGGCATCGAAGAGCTCAAGTTAGCGCCCTTCTTCCGCGGTGTCGATTGGGAGCACATCAGGGAAAGACCAGCCGCCATACCGGTCGAGGTGCGTTCCATCGACGACACGTCAAACTTCGACGAATTTCCAGACGTGAAATTAGAGATACGTACGTATATCTTGTCCTGCATTATCATTATTGCATCCAATAGTCTCTGAAACACACGCTTTATTCTTTCGTTTTGCCTCATTACAGCATCCGCGCCGATGCCACAGGACGGCGAAGTAATATACAAGGACTGGGTATTTATTAATTACACCTTCAAGCGCTTCGAGGGTCTGACACAACGGGGCACGCCGACCAAGAAATAGCAACCCCTCACTTCCTGCTCGATCAACAGCGCCGTCGTCAATCAGCAGCCAGCTGACGTGATCGAAATTCCGGCCTTGGTACATCATCCTCATCCGCCATCGTCGACGGCAATGGTGTCGCGTATGACGGACGGTTGATCCTGTCTCTTGGACGCAGTTCAAGTATCGGACACAAGTCATTCTTATTTGTATATATGTGATGACCATGGATTGTCATAAATACGCGCAGCATCAATCACGGATATCGACAGTTGCGAGCGAGGCGAAGAGCACGATCCAACCGAAAGCCCGGACAAGCGGATGGATACGCGAGAGTATAGCGATAAAGGTGCACAATACACGAATATTGCATGCCTCAACGCGTGCGTCGATAACGCGTGATAAGGCGATGCGAGCGAAGTTTTGTGTGACTTACACGGTGATCCTCGTTTGTATCCCCGTCGAGAAGCATTATTCTTTACTCTTGTCGTGCCGCGGAGGAGGCGTTTTGTGCGAAGCGTAGCATAATAAGCTCTCTGTGGTAATGGTATTAAACGGAAACGATCGGAGGGAGCCTCGGTCCCGTGATCCTCACACGTACTTCTTATTTATCTACGCGACGCGCGTGTCAACAAAATTTTATTGCGCGAAATACGCTCGGCTAAGCTCTCGAATCAAGCTCTCTCTCTTTTTCTATGTTCAAACGTTGTATTTATAATTAACTCTCTGTGATATGTGAAGTTGTTGAAAATATCCGCTACCTTCGGACCTTTTTGTCTGTTAGCGGATGTCTACGCTTTTATTGATGTTGTATATATGTGATTAATCGTATTTCGATATGTCTTGAAAATTTAAAAGTTGTTACGATGGAATTTTATAATATTATGTATTTTTGCGCTACTTTTGAGAGCTTAGATCCGTTCACGAAACTGAGGGAATTATTGACGGAATTAATGACACGCGCGCGAAGCTTTTCATATGTAAACAAATAATATATATTTCCTAATATATATTTTACATGTTTTATCATTGCATTTCAGCATTGTGTAATGGGGTATACTTTCGGTACCGGGTCTCTCTCTTTCTCTTTATCTCTCTTTCTCTTGTAAGGCAATAATAAACATTTAGCCGTGTCTGAATACACGATAAAGGATGCTAGGCTTTAAAAGATACCGTAAAAAGGCGTAAGAAGGGAGAGAGAAAGATTACACTTGTAAGATTCAGGGCTCCTTCGTTGCCTTATTAAGGTTCCTAACAGACAGCCCAACAAAACCCGTACGTTTAAACGAAAGAGATGAGCCAGACATGCCACTTCTTCGACGGAAAACGATGAGGAAATAAGGCAGTGTGTTACGAACGATGTAGAAAATCGTACGCACGTGTATTTTAACACTCGATGAAACCGAATACCTTTTCTTTCGATCGCACTGTGAACAATTTTACGATATACATTTCGTAGTTTTGCTGACAACCAGGGCACCTTGGTAATAAAATAGCGTAATAACGATAAAGACTAGGTAACATTTAAGATAACAAACATACATTCACACAGAAGTACCTATAACATTAAACAAAGGAAATGCACGCGTGCGCATTCGAAACGTAATTGCGTTTTGGATAATATAGTACATGTATAAAAAGAAAAAAGAAAATTCTCAACGCTCCTTCCACGTTAACGTTCCGGCGTGTCTCCACTTAATAATCACGCAATCACGCTGTACTGTACATTCGACGAAGAGATTAGTTTCGTACGACTACTCCGCCTGCGTATGTATCTTAACGCCGTTTACTGAATAAAGTTTCTCCAGGTAGTTTAAATAAAGCAGAGAGCGCCTAGATTACGGTGTACTACCAGTTAAGCCAGTAATTTAAACAAAGAGAAAAAAGAAAGGAAGAAAATCACCCGCGAAATGAAGCTAGTAGAAAAAAAAAGATGAAAGCTATTTTCTGCAGTATGCTAGGAGTTAAATCGACGAGTGTAACGTGTAAGCGGGAAAGTTAGGGAGCTACGGAATACTTTAGTCTCTCCTTGTCGCCATTGAGTACAGATGCTCTGACGTCCATGCTACTAAGTAAAAGAAAAGAAAAAAAAACGAAGAAGTGATCGCAATTTATTTATTTAAAGAGAAAGTCTAATTAAATGATACAACAATAGCCACGAGATGCCTTCGACGCAACAAGTTTCGGTGCCCTGGAACAGTGCATATATATAAACATATAAGTATATATGTAAAAAAAGTATATATATATACATAGAGATACCTTTTAGCAAAGAGAGAGGGAAGTGTAATATGCGCTAAATTTAGGTGTTGAATTATAGGTGTGCTCTGAATTCGAGGTCAGGTGGGTGTACATTTTTTTCTTTTTTTTTTTCTGAAAGCGAGAGAGAGGGAACGAGCGATTATAACATAAGCGGAGTGGTGACGAGATGTATGTACGCACGTATCGAGTTATTACACATTTGATGTAAAACGTAATTCTGAGGACACGTGAGAGGGAAATCTCCAAGTTAGACTTAACGGTATTGATTATCGGTGTACACTGTAAATACTGACGAGGCAACTAAATATTATTAAGAGCAAAGGCAGTTTGAGCTCCGGTGTTTAATTGGTTACCGCTGTACTGCCATCCTCGACTTTTTATTATTGTATATCGCGCATGATGAATCGCATTACGGGTGTGTTAAACGTACGGTATATCATCCAATCACACGTTTTTGCTCGTGTTTACGCTAGTGTTCTTATCATTGTACGAATACTGATTAGTTGTTAATTTTACGGTTAATTTAAATGAAAGAAACCGCGATAGATCTCTCCTAGCTAATTCGTACTAATTAGTTGTTAAGTTACTCTTTTTTTCTTCGGGGGGCGAGGAGCCTCTTATTTTTTTTTTCTTCTTTTTCTTTCTTTTCTCTCGTCGAATAGGAGTCGCTTCCTACACATTCGCGTCTTCTGTCTCTCTTGTAGCTGTCATCTTGTCGAGTTTCGTTCATGTGATTTCTTTCTGTCGCGATATGGTAGGATTCTCGGATTATGTAATATCATACATATACGATTAATCACACGCACACGCACGTATATCGACCGCATGTAGCAAAGCGGAACAATTATTTCTTCGCGTTCGAATATCGAGAGGAGCCGTTTCTTCGGTTGTTTAATCGATACACTTTAAGCCTGGATGAGTAATGTTTCGAAGTTACAAATACTGAGATCATCGGTTAAAATCTGCGCGTGAGATTATTTTAGAAAGACTTTTGCTGAAGCGTGTCTCGGGAGAGAGGCATGGAAATTCTCTTACAAGAATAAAGCTCTTCCCACTGAAGAATAAATAATTAATATTGAATCTTAACACGTCTATAAAAAGTCATGAATAGAACAAAATCATTTCCTTAAATACTAGATAAAAAGTTGGCTATGATTCAATTCTTTTATTGTCTTTTTAGACAGAGAATTAAATGATAGACGCGCTAATTTGAGGCAGGTAAGTGAATTTCGAAACAAATCGGCGATGTACAAATATTAATACTAGACTTAATGCTAAACTATTCTATATTGATCATATATTTCACAATTACAATTTAAACAAGCAAATGATGGAAAAGCAACGATCTGGTTATTTTGTTTGATTAAAATTACGTCACGAGCGATAGCTCAGTTATTTTAAGTCAAGCTAGGTAAACATCTAAAACTGCAAAGATTAGTGTTGCCGATCTGATGATATGAAAGCCACTTCTCGGATGGATTGTTTATCGTGGAATCTATTGCCTTCTGCATATTACTCATCCAGGATCAAGGAGGATCGCACGCGATGACGATCCTTCGATTGCCCCCGTGTGCGAAATAACGATTTGCGCAAAGTGCTCTTGGATAAATATTTCGTTGCGCTTATCATTTTACAACGCTTAAAATCTAGAACTGCGGATTGAGGCGTAACGAAGCTTAAGAAGAAACCGTTCTCAAACTGAAAATAATATAGTAAATTACAAAAAAGGACATTCAGAAGAAAGCAAAGGAAAAGTTCAAAAAATTCTATAATTTAAATATGTATAACTTACGCTAATTATAAGTTATAAATAACAAATATCGAATAGCTGCTGTATTTATTCGGACTACAATGATTGTAGAAAAACAGCTAGAGAAAGAGAAACCATTAGAATTATATCAGATTTGTTTCACAAACGTACAACTTGTGTCCAACATCAAAATTTAACATTTAAAGAACATCGCAGTTCATCCTTTCCAGAATTTTATCTTTTTTTTACATTTTATTCCATCTTAGTGTCACGTTTCGTTACGTCTCATCCGTATTCTACGCAAACCGTTAGGTCGCGTGTGAGTCACTTAAATCGTCCCGATGCGCATTGCCGAGGAACCGAAATAATATCAGCACGGGTTTCGCTCGGGATTAACAGAAGCGAGTACGTGTGTTGCGACAATCGTGTGTGAACGAAACGAATTTCTTTATTCGGGGATACGAGTGTTATCTGTCACCTGTAACTGCGCGATAGCGATAATGTTCCGTATCAGCGCGGCTTGATTCATTTTGTTGTCGTTTTGTACAGTGATTTAGCTGAATTTTATAAGCCGGACTTAGTATATAGCGTTATTAGGTAGAAGTTCTTCATGATTAATCCCGTTCAAGCGTAGCGATAGTAGACTCTTAGACACGGCCAGTCCCGCGCGTCGTAAGTCTACGGTGACTAGATAACATCGTCGTGCGAGTACAAGCGAGTGTAATGATGCTGCAGTGCTTTTTCTTGAATTTTTAAATGGGCGACTTAATATGAAAAAGTCTCAGTTTCTGAGTTCGTACGTATATATATGCCTTGAATAAATATACATATTTAATTTATATTAAGCACTTATTTACTTCTCATAATGTCAAAAACACGTAATCTTTCAAACCATTTAGACGTTCTTTAATAAAAATCGAAAAATATATGTTTTTATTAATTAATAATAATTAATAAAATTATTAATTAATTATTATGAATTAATAATTTTATTTATAAAATTAATAATTATTTAATAATAATTATTAATAATTATTAATTTGTTCTTTAAACAAGTTCTTCTTTAATATTTATCACAAGTACAAATTTAATAATCTAAAAAAGTTTAAAGATTGCATTTTTAAGTTATTGCGATATAAATTAGTCTCTTAAATTAAATATTATCATATAATTTCCTCTTTCGAAAACTTTAAGAGCCCATTTCTTGATTTCGACACATAAAGCACAAAGGCGAACGCATTTATTGCACTCGATTGTATGAGAATAGATTTTGTCAAATAAATTTGTGTAACACGATGTCTAGCCGTTCTGGCCGTTCTGGATGTATGTGGTATTTGCCGTATAAGATTTACGATTATTTAAAACCGATTACACGCAAATTGTCGGCTATTCGTTTCGGGGACGGAGGAGAAAGACCCAGGACACGAACCACACACGCGGACGCACTACGGACGAGGTATATCGAGTGCGGATATTTTATAGTAGGCTTGTGATTAAATCGAGGAATTATTGTCGAATGGTCCGAGATAAAATAAAAAACGATGTATAAAAAAAAAGAGAAATATTGCTTTCCACACGCAGAATATACTATTGTAATTATGTCGTTAATAAATTGTTTTTTATTTTAACTCTCTCGCAAGCGGTTCTCGTACACGTGTTCCCTGCATGGCGTTTCAATGGTTCACGATTTTTAGCATGGAGCTCCATTGGCGGAGATGCAACCCCGGAGGCTTTGCAGAGTTCGGTAATTCGCTCGGTAATAGTGTAACGGTATAACTATAAAATTATATAAATAGCAAGTTTGTCGGAAATCAATAAAGAAAATAACTTTATAACTTCGGGTGATAAAGAGGACACGTATCATATCTGCGGCTTTAAGATAATATATTGAACGAAATATCATATCATTTCATATTGTATAGCATGATTTAATTAAATTACAACCTCAACATTAAACGATATAAAATTAAAACACATTTTGATGTATTATAATAAAATTGTATTTTATACTTTTTGTTTATAACATTATATTACAAATTAAAACTTGGATTTTTTTAAAGATTCCATAAAATCTTACAAAGATTTTTATATTTCTGTATATAAGTGACACATGTGCATATAAACTTGCCTTTTATCTTAATTCAATTTTCAATCAAATTAATTATTTTAAAAAAGCGAGTAAAAAGAAAAATAAATGCTCCTTTAACGCAAATTGAAATGAGAGAAATGCAACAATTGTATGTTTTTGTTTCAAACAATTTATTATCAAATTCAGATACTTGTAAAATATTATTTTTTGAGATTTCGCATTATTACGTACGAAATATTTATTTTCAAACATTATATCTGTCTTTTTTCGAAATAATCATTTTAATTATAATCAGCACTTTATATTACGAAAAATTAATCATTTTTGAATCAAATTAAAATTGTTTCCTTTAGTATTGTTATTTATGGATAAAGATATATGTGCAGCACGCAACTGCTTCTACAGCGAATGGTAATTTTATCCCCGTCCGCTACTGACATCTTCAATCCAGTTCTGGCCTCCAGTTCACAGCATTTCACCGAGATGATGGCGTTAGCAGCTCGGATTTGAGTCGCTCAAGAACAATTGTTTATTAATTATTAGCTTTTTTATGTATAAACTCTCGCAGCGACGAACAGTCGATCAGGTATTATCAAAAATTTCAATTTCTTATTATACATAATAATTTTTTATTTCAATTTTTAATTACATATAAATTACAGTAGCATTCAATACTGCATTATTTTTAGTAACAAATTTTTATTAAATCAAAATTTTGATTATAATTATATTATTATATATTAAAGAAAAATGCATAAGGAGAAATTGCAAAACTATACAGATACCAAGATGGCGTCTGACTATGCTTGCCACTTTTACTGAAAGAAAATTGCGTTACAGGAGTATTGGCTAGGCCAATTATTAAGGAATTTCTAAGAAATTCTTATTTTAACTATCCTATAATTATATATTATCGTAGTTTATTTTTATTATTGTATATTGCATTTAATTACAGTTATACTATTTTCCCAAATATCTCAGTTAATTCTACCGAAGAAAATATTAACTGCCAGATAAGAGTTTCAAACAAAGAACTCAATTAAGTTCAAAGAAAGTAAATATTATCACGTATACGATATATTACACGCAAAATTGAAATAACGACGTAAAAATACATATAAATATAAAAATGATATTAAAATATATATAAACGCGAAATTTTCTGCTTTATACGTACGATTTTGAAGAAATATTCAATTTTCTCAATGAGAAAATTAGTTCTAAATTATGCGAGTTTTCAGTTCGAAGACGAGATTCTCGGGGACTCTCAGTATCTCTTCTTCATAAAGTAGTATGATCGCGTTGTGTCTTCCAGCCGCATTTGGAATCGCGCGAACGACGAGCGAATTTCGTGTTCGAGGCAACGACAGAAATGTTCGGTGTTGCCTCGAAGAGAGAAACCCCACGTCTCGGGGTAGGTGGCACAGCGACACGTACAAATCGTACAATTATGCGAGTCGTGACACGACGCCCGCCGACGGTTGACTCTCGAGAAAATGCGATTGGATTGATCCCGGTGATGTATTACCGTCCATTTCCGCGTGAGTTTCCTTTCCCTCGCTAACCAACGAACGAATTCTCCACGACCGCTGGAAGTTTGCATGTATTGCGACGTATAGTTACGTCTATCTTTCTCTAGAATACTAAACGCGTGCTTACAAATTACGTTCGACAAATGCCACGCGTTGACTTCATCAGTCTTGTGCGAAATATCTCTAGAAAAATCAGCACGATGAAGAATCAGCCAAAAATTGAAAAGATTAAATATTTGGATAGGTTTAATTTTTTAATATTAGATTTTTTCGATAAAAGAAAGCTTCTTATTAAATAATGGCTTTGAATTCTTTTTATCTCATTATTTCAAGCGATTTAATTTTTTTCGTAACTCATTTTACTTTTATGTTCCCTTACAGAAATTTAATACTGTAAGTGATTAATTACTTATTTCGAGTATTAAAAGTACTGTTTTTAATGATTTTAATACTCAAAATAAATAATTAATTACTAGCCAAATAATCACTTACAGTATTAAATTTCTATAAGAGTTTGAAATGTTTAAATTACATCTGCTATCTATGCTTTCCTTCAGAAGCTTTATAATGTAATTACAATTACATTAACAATTTATCTAACATGAAGAGCACGTTCCGTCATGCATTATCGTAAACCGAAACTCACGTAGTCGCATCCAGCGTTAAAGGCGATCGTATAATTATTATCGGTTTCTCGTGCGGCAACGCGAAGGAAATCTTCATACCGAGTAGATAAAATTGCTAATCCGACAGGACACTCGTTTAGCTCCAGATGCGGCGCTAGCCAGATAGCAAGAGAACGGCGCGGGCTCTTACAGCGGACAGCTGCATCGGCGACGATGCGAACGTCACAGTTCCGGAACGGAGTCGTCAATAATCAGTCAAATCCGCGATTCAGCGATGAAAACTTTGAACTTCCTGGAAGCGCCGGAACGAATCTTCGTTCCCGTTTCCTTTGCGAAGAATCGGTACCTTCGATAAAATCATATGCAAACTCGATTATGCCGATCTCCCTCTTCTTCCTCTCTCTCTATCTCCTCTTTCCCTCTCCCTGAAAATCGCGAAGTTCGACGGGATACGCCCGACAACAAGAGTGCCGCGAGAAATAATTAGTTTTGCAACTATGACGCACGCTCGCGTTCGCGCTCGCATGTACGAGCACGCACGCACGCACGCACTCACGCACGCATCCGCGGGACGCATGGCAGGAGAATGGTTATCACGGGGCTGTGATTGGTATTGCCCTATGACCTCCGTCGAGGCACGGCTCCGCCTCTCACTTACGCACCGACACGCACGCATTAAAAGCGGGCCTCCTTTGCGTACGTAAGCGAGCGAGCGAGCCGGAGCCGCTCGTGCTGTTCGTCGCGTCGTTCCGGCATCATGATGGCGTCCGCGCATTTTCCACGAGCAAAGATACTAATTGAGAGCCCCCCGAGGAGGAGAGAACGAACGAATCAACTTTTTTCGCCACTTTGCAACACCATGCTACACGATCGCGATCGCGTTTTCAAGTGTATAGAGAACGTTCCTTGTCTAGCGCTAGAAAAAAAAATTGATCTTCGATAAGATAACCGGATTACAGAACCAGTCTTTCGAAGTTATAAAATGCGTAAGCAACATTTGAGCCCGCTAATTAAAGTTTTGAAATAACTTAGAAATGTTTGCTGATTTTGATATCGGTTAATCGAAACGCGCGTTGAAGAGTTACATCGATATTCGCTATTATCGTAATCGTTAATGACATTCTTGGATAATTGAAGACAACCGACAATATATTTCATAATGCAGCCGTGGTCGTGGTGGGAATTATTAGAACGGGAATTATTAGCGTTCCAGCACTTACTCTGGTGTTGGTTCTCTTCCATCGACCTCGTTAATTAAGCCAGGGCTAAAAGTCTCGGTGGGCTCTAAACGAGCTATGACAATCGCTCGATTTGGCATTCCGATTCTCGCATGATTCACCGTATACGCTTATAGTCCGCGTCGAGGGCTTAATTGAGAGCTCGGGGAGATGAAAATTATGCTCTTTGTGTATTAGTTCGTTACTCAGATCTAGGCCTGTGTGCGTCCAGTAATTCTTACGTTCAATGATACATAAAAGCTTCAGCAAATATATCAACGGATATTTAGACTCGCCGGAGTGCCATTTAAACCCTCGGACATATAAAGATTGAAGAATGTGCAGATTAGGAAACTAAAATTTTTATAATATGGGCG